TATATAATGTACAGCATGGCAACTGTAGTAAATAATACTGTATTATATATTTGAAAGTTGCTAATAGAGCACATCTTGTAAGTTCTCATCACAACAAGAAACAATTATAACTACGTATGGTGACCGATGTGAACTAGACTTACTGCGGTGTACACTTCGCAATATACACACATAACAAATCATTATATTGTTCACCTGGAACTGTTCTCTCTCAATTATATCTCAATTAAAAGAAATATTTTTTGACCTTACACTCTTTTGCAAATATAGGCCCTTCTCTCTACTGGTGTTTGAATAAAACATGCCCACAAATCTATTATTATTTATCTGTTGCTCCTCCTTCCACATTTTGCTAACTTTTCTCAACTCACTGCATTTGATCGTTGGTCCTTTCCAGCTGCCCAGATCCCTCTTGTTAAACGTCCTCAGTTGCTAAACCCAGCAGTTCCCTCCGGTCCTCATCTGACTGGACCTTCAGCAGCAGTGGACAGAGCTGGCACCACCCTGCCTCCTGAAACCCTCTCTCTTGCCTCCACCTACAGTCTGCCTGGTTTCCCTCCCACCCCAGAGTCTGTGCCTCTTACGCTCCTTCACTGGCATCTCCCTGTCTTGGCACTTCCACAGGGAGGAATGATTGTCCAGGCTCAGGCCTGGTTGCCTCTCTCTCCCCTGCCTCCCCTTTTCTCTCTGATAGGCCTGCCCAGTAACATGTCCAGTCCCATAGCTTTAGTTACCATCGACATTCTCATGCTCCCAAATGTTTTACTCACCCTGTGCACTCAACTATACTCATAATTCCAATTGCTGACTCAACATGTCCAACTGGCTATCTAAATAGGAATTTCAAATTTTGCACGTTCAAAACATAACACTTCCTTCTGTCCCCTGCCCTGTTCCTTCCCAGTCTTCCACATTTTTGAGATTGGCAACATTGTTCACACCAGTGGAAAAGCTGAAACCCATGGAGCTACCTGATTCCTTTCCTCCTCTCAGCCCCTCACCGAATTCACCACCAGGGGTAGACAGCTTATGGAGTCTACCTCTGAATTCTTAACTCAGATCCGACTCTTGCACCTCCACGTACACCATGTCCTCCTGAAGTACCATCATCTCTCCTCTACCACTGCAGGAGGCTGCTAGCTGGTCTCCCATGACACACCAAAGCAACAGCTTGATACAGGGTGGGGCCGCAGTAGGTTTATAGTTGTTCATGTGGCAAATAATATTGAATACAATCATAAATTAATATAAGAATAAACTGTGTTTCACGTACTCAAAACTGTAAACCTACTTTGGTCCCACTCTATATAAATCAGCTAATGTGACTTTTCAGTTTAAACCCTCCATGACTTGTGAGCTTATTTAAATGGAGACCACATTGCTAACAGTGACCATAAGGTCCCATGTCCCCAAGAACTGGCTGCTGCCCACTCCTCCAAGCTGCCTCTTCTCTCTTATGCTCCTGCTAGCCGGGACTTCTGCTCTTTGAACACATCTGGTCTTCCCCTCCCCGGGCCTTGGGGTTGTGCCTTCTGTGTGAAACACTCTTTCCCCAGTCTCCCTATTGGTTTCTTCTAAGGGTTCTGGCCTTAGATCAAATGTCACCTCCTCAGAGAGGCTTTTCTGATCACCTTCACCTATCAATCACCTTTGCTTTCTTCCCAGCACTTGCTGGTGTTGGAATTATTTATGAGTTTACTCTCCTTCCTCCTCTGGAGAGGCAGTGAAGTGAGAATGCAGGCCTATCCTATTCACCAACGAGTCTCCAGCGTCTACATCACTCTTGACTTACAGTAGTTCATTAGTAAATACTTAATGGAATCTAAATAGTGCTCAGTATGTGCCCTGAAAAAATGCTTTGCTCAGATCCTAAATCCTGTTACTACACTGAGGTGATTACAGCTAGACCACAGCTGCCTCGGTAATGAGTTCATCTACATTTAACTCTATGGAGGTTAACACGGCAGAGTCAGGAATCGGACAGCCTGGTTTTGAAATCTTGAACCCCACGTGTGCGCTTGTGCATGCATCTATGTTGTGTGTGATTCTGGGCTACACTTAGCCTCTATAAGCTTCAACGTCCTCGATCATAAAATGGGGGTGATTTTTGTAAAGATTAAATATGATCATCCATGTAAAAATGAAGTGCTTGGTTCCTAGTTAACACTAAATCATTATCAGACACTGTTCTTAAGTTATAATTTCTTTTGTACCATTCTGAAACCTGATGCATAAGAACATGCAGTTTAGTCAGTTTCCAATTTGTAGGTTGTTACACTTCTAAGGAAGGCTTTGCTTAGATTTTAAAATTTTTCAAAAAACTTCCTACCCTGTGAAAGACCCTCCCTGAGTACATGCTGAAATATTAATAACATGCTTTAGGAAACAATTCAATCAAGATATGACTTAGTCTTTTTAGTGCCGGATAAGTAAAATATAAAAATTTATTACTTTCCGTCATAATAGCCTAAGAATTTATCTAAAGTTCTGTTCTCAGGGATAAAAACATACTGAAATCTCTCAGGTTTAAAAAAATTTATTACCCATATTTCACAAGGCCAATGAGCCAGTTTTTTATATTAGGCATAGGAGACTGAATCTTAATGGCTCCTTACCCTCACTCGGTCCAGCTTCCTTATCCTCCTCGTCACGCACAGCCTGTCTGAGTCACAGACACTCAACAGCGGGCTGGCTAAGGAAGTAGTGTTATGTGGAAAACTGTGTGCTGGGGGGGGAATCAACTGTCTTTATTGAAGTCCAGGGCATGAAATATACAAGGCAGAGAGAACTGGAGGTGTATCTTCCCATATCGAGTAGCTCATCCAGATAATTTGAAGGCAGAAGGGGACTGGTGGTTCAGAAGCTATGCATGGGAGGAACAAATTTAATTAAATAAAATTAAAGATGATGCTGTGAATGTTTTTGGTCTACCAGAGGTCGACACTGACACTGGTTTAAAAGGTAGAGACAGTTTTCCTTTTTTCATATGAAAAGTGAGGCTATCTTATATATATTGCAGTTAATTTTTAAGTTTATTTATAATCATATAACACTTTATATATTTCTATTTTGTCACTTATTACAATATCACTTATTTTATATTGTTTTATTTTAATGTACCCATCTCTGCTGTCAGATATCAAGAACTGCATCTTAATCATATCTGTACCTATGCTGTCTCACACATATTAGAGCCTGAAAAAGTACTGGCTGAATTGAGATGATAGGCTATGTCTTTAATATGAATTCATTTAATATCTGTATTATAAAAGCAACGCACACTAAAATTCACCACACTTCTAGCAGTGCTGAAGCAAATAAGCGTTTAACCTTAAGGTGTTCTATCTGAACTTGGATTTGGGAGACAAATCGGACCATCTAACAAGCACGTATTTAGGGGAAGTTCCCTTTATTATACTCTAAAATACTTCAAGAAGGTTGCTACACAGCCTGCCCTTGACTAATACTGCCGACTTATTGAATGTTAAAAACCTTTGTTGTTCTTTTTCTATTACTTTAGCCCTTCAGTATGTATGCGGCACGGTGGTTAAGAATATGGGCCCTGGAGACAGAGGGCTTGGATTTAAATCCTTGTGTAACTTTGAATGAGTCCCTCTAACCTCTCTGGGTCTCAATTTACTCACTTGTAAAAAAGCAATACTAATAATACCTCATAGGCTAACAGCAAAGTTTAAATGGTTATATACGTATACTACGTGTGCATTTATGAGTCCCGTGCAAGTATCAGTCACTGCTATATGCAGAATGTTTGCTTTCATTAACACGGCAAGGTCCCTTGAGGAGCTCACAGATGTTTGCTTTCAAAGATAATGCAGAGGAACCTTTTATTAGAAGTAACGTGCACGCTCAGTGAGTGGTAATAGCTCCTTCTATAAATTGTCAGTTCTTGAAGGAGCTATAAATGATGGCTTACATCCTGCTTTCTTCTGCTTTAACTAAAGAAGAAATTTGGCAGTACTGAACAGTTAAAAGTAGTAAAAAGATGAAGAATAAGGAAGTGGAGACCTCAGGAATTTAAATTTTCTTTATATACATGGTATGGCACAAATAATGCCCCTTTTTGTACAAATCATAAGAATGCAATTCTGTAACATACCAATATCAAACTCAAGCACATCAGATGACATTTTAGCTGACATGTTCAAATTAAAACTATTAATTATTACACCCATATTATTACCCTACCAACCATACTCAAGCAGGCATTACTTCTGCCAGACCCTGTGTTTTCCTATTTTTGAAAAGCAACCAATTAATAGGATACACATCAATTTATAGATTTAGGGAATAATATAAGAATGTGGTACTTAAAACACTTCCAATTTAAGCTACTGGTATTGGTCAAAGCCCTGGCTCGGCTGGTTAGAGTATTGTCCAAGCATACCAAGGTGGTGGGTTCAATCCCCTGTCAGGGGACAAACAAGAATCAACCAATGAATGCATAAATAAGTGGAACAAGAAATCAATGTTTCTCTCTCTCTTTTTCTCCCTCTCTCTCTAAAAATCAATCAATAAAAAAATTATTGGCATTGATTAAAACACAATAACATAAAACTAAATACTTTGATTATCAAGTTTTCTAATTAATTCCCTACAGGCTGAGTCTTGTCAAACATACTAAAAAATATTAACTTATTCTTATGAATGATTTCAACTTTGGTTGATACAGTATTTCAATATGTTTCCATTCTTTTTTTTCACTAGAGAAACCAAAAATAAATCGGGTACTTTATATTTTAAATAAATTGAAGTTAATGTAGCAGAAATGTTTCAAATTAAAAGGAACAAATATTGACATTAGACATGGCTGATGCATTCCTAAGTGTCAGAACCATTCGATTTATTTATAAAGTTTTCAGGAGATATGAGTTTTGAATCACAACGCCATTATGCATTGGAAAAGCATATTCACAATGAAGCCCTCTTGATATTGAGGCTGTTAGACCATTCACACTCCTTCACTGCACATCTCTCCTTACCTTCGATGAACACCTCCGCAGACGTTGCGTCTGAGCCGCTCGGATTCGTAGCCAGACAGGTATAGCGGCCTGTGTCGTCCTCAAAGGCTTCTGCTATGACCAGGGTGTGGCGGTCCCCCCCCTCACAGTGGATCTGAATATCAGGAGTGTTGTGTAGCTCCTTCCCCTCACAGAACCATCTGCAGGCCAAATGGAGGTCAAAGGACAGGAGAGAAAGGAAGGATAGAGTGATGCTTAAAATAATAAAGCAGAGGCAAAAGGCTGGGTGCTATGTAATCAGATGCTTGTTTGATCAAAAAAGATCTGTGTCAATATTACTGACGGAAACTCTACATTTTAGATCATGAAATTAGTGACTAGACAATGCCCACAAGGTTTTGTTTGTAAAGCGCCTTGTACATTTTGTCAACCTTGAAGTAAGCAACATCGTTATACTTGGAAAGACCATTCCAGTTACAAAAGAAAAGGAACAGAATTTCAAAGTGTCTTATAAAATGTTTTATAATGAATGACTCTTACATTTATTACAGTTTTATCCAGGATTTCTTATCTAAAGAAAAATATTAAAATAATATAAACGTTATGCTCAAAATATCTAATGTATCAAGGGAAACTAATCATCGAGTTAAAAAAATCATAGGCAGCAATATTTTTGTTGACCCTAAGACTCCTGATCAGCTGAGCAATAACAGAGTTAATGCCTTCCACATTTCTGATATTTACAAAACTTCCTAGCAGACCGCTTGGCTTCTACAACAAGAGAAATGGAGCGGTTGTAATTCATTCTTGCTGGTCAGCACTTTTCCTTTCCCAGACAACCAGGACCTTGGTTGGTGTGGGAGGCTGCAAGCTGCCAGACTATTTTAGCACAGGTTCTCTCTCACACTCTTTCCTTTATTCCCCCAGCACCTCAAACTCTCAACAGGAGTTTTATAAAAACTATGAAGCTGTCCCAACCTCCTCCCTCCAAAATGTGATTTATTTTTTAAGAAATATGTAGGAATGTGTCACTACTGAAAGGATTGAAGTCTCTGGGACTGTATTGTCCAGTTAGCTCTTAATCAGCACTTGGATATTTTCTCCAAGTCTAATCTTCTAGAAAATTCTTTGGACTTGGTACCCTTTTGTGAGAATATGGCACCGAACACTAACTTTTTTCTGTATTTAGATAGCATAATACAGGTATTTGTCTATATTTAATCTGAAAATAATGTTAAAAAAACAAATCTGTTTCTAAAACTCAGAGTACTAACTCCAAAACTGTATTTAAAAATAAATATGGGGCAGTCACAAAAGAACAGATATGACTTCTGCAATTAAAATACATTTTAAAAAATACCAGCCAACTGACCACCCTATGCAATGCACTGTATATAACTTTTTTTTTAATACTTACCCGAGGACATATTTTTTCATTGCTTGTTCAGAGAGAAAGGGAGAGAAACATTGATTGGCTGCCTCCTGTATGTACCTGGACTCGGGGGTTGAACCCAAAACCTAGGTATGTGCCCTGACTCGGAATCGAACCCTCAACCTATCAGTTACAGGAGAGGGACACTCCAAACAACTGACCCACACAAGCCAGGGAATATATTATTTCTGAGGCAATGAGAAGAGCAGTGTTCATTGCTTCTGTGGCAGTTTGTGGTCCCTTTGTTTTCATCAAGCTTTGGAGAACATTCCAGGCTACAACCATCCTTCAGTTCCTTCTTTTCTGTTCTTTCCACAGTCACAGTCCAGGTCCTCACCCATGAGAATTAGGCTGACATTGTAATTGTTCTAAAGTTTTTTAATTGATCTCTTCATCTCCAGTAAGTTATGGATCCTTCCTATATCCCAAATCAGATTACAGTTCTTCAAACTTTTCCCTACATACATCATTCACTAAAATTCAGATCTACATTGAGGCATTTCACGTAACTTGGCCCTGATTTTATTTTCAATCATTTTCCTATACTAATCCCTGTTTCTGTCACATATTTGCATGGATTTATTGTTCCTGACACAGCCCTCATGTATTTCTTGCCTGCTCTCCCCTCCTTGGAATTCTCTCCTTACACTCTTCATTAATCTCATCCAAGAGCTACTCCTCCTGAACAGCCATGTGAAAGGCTTCTTTAACAGATTAAGCTCAAACATATGTCTGCTGAGCTTCTTCTGTCTGGGAGGCACTGCATTACATACTACAGGTGGTAGAAAGAATGCCCGATACACTCTGGAACTAGTTGAGAAGTCTGCCTGTCTGTATTGTCAAAGAGAATTTTTTATCTTTCATAAAAAATATATAAACCAACTATTAGAGGGAAAACACAACATGAGAGAAGACAGTAAAGGTTTAACAGAAAGGCTGGTTGCTTTGGTTCAATGTACTTCATAGGGAAACCTCTGTTTACTGACCAAGGGGTGTCGTATCTTGACCTCTGACTCACTGCTCAGCAAACTTACAAGGTCTGTTTTTGTATGGCCCAAAATCTAAGAAATGGTTTTTATATTTTGAAATGTTTGAGAAAAATTAGAAAAATATTTTGTGACATAGGAGATTATATAAAGTTCAAATTTCATGATCTATACATTTTTTTTGGAACACAACCGTGCTCATTCATTTACGTAGCATCTATGGCTGCTTTTGTATTACAGTGACAATGTTGAGTAGTTGCAAAAGACTGTACGGCTCACAAATCCTAAAATATTTGTTTGGACTTTATAGAAAAAGCTGGCTAACTCCTGCTCTAACTTCTTGCTCCTCAAAGTGTGATCCTTGGACCAGCAACACCAGCATCATTTGGGAGCTTGTTAGAAATGCAGAATCTTGACCCTCATCCCAAATCTACTGAATCAGTTCAGATCCCCTTGGTAATTCACATGCACGTAAAAGTTAAGACGTTCTGGTCTATTATGTTTGGATCACAGTAACTTGCTTCACAGACTTCTGGCTTTTTCTCTAGGTTATTCACTTCTTTAATATAGCAACCACATTTTATGTGTTGAGTATCTCTGGTCCCTTGCACTTAAGTACATGGAAAATTGTGTTGTTTGTTTCTTCCACCTCTCTACTAAAAAAAAAAAAAATTATTCATTTGATAATTGATGATATATCACTTTAGACTACCTTCTGTGTAGTTCCCTTATACCATATTTGAGGCCTATTGCATTTATGTCTTATTTTCCCCATCTAAAAAAATTGACCCCATTGCAGAAAAATGCATTCTTAAAACTTTTTTTCATTGATTCATAGTGTATTACATATAGTTGATGCTTTACAAACACTGTCTGCTACTCATTACTTTAGAATATCCTTTCCATGAATAAACAAATGTTGAAGAATCTGTCACCTACTAGATTTGGAAGATACTGTGTATTATATATCAGTCCTTGACATTTGTCATTCACGTTTTCTTATTAAAGTTCCTAAGAAGTGCTGCAGGAAAAAAATTTGTTTAACATCCTCTAATCTAGTATTTACTTGACCATGATATTGTTTTTCTTATTTAGCATCTATTAACATCCCATATGTAGTTGCAGAATGCATTTCTAGCATATTTATCCAATAGAACTTGTAGTTTTAAAAAATAAATTAAGATCAATTATAATACGAACAACGATGATCAGTATTAGGCTGAAGAAAATAATCAGTAAGCTCAAAAAAATAATTGAAATATATTTTGATACTTGGCAGAAAGATAAAGGCAACAAATGCATTTTCTGTAATAGTCTAGCAAATGTACTTAGTCTCCTGAAATGGCTCATTATATCTTCAACATTTAAATATGGTGAAATTATGGGTGCTTACAAACTTCTAGCCTGACCTGTTTTTTTGCTTTTTAAACACGCATGCTTTTTGTTCTCCAGTTCTGTGAATAAAATTTAAAAAGCATCTCAGATTCAAACACATAGTAGAAATAATGCAGAGAAAAGACTAAAGCATGTGATAACTATAACTAACATGAGTCAATACACTGAATTGACACTGTCAGGGAAAAGTCAGATTGTTACTGATGTTAAGTGCCTGTCGAGTGATCAGTTCTATGCTGTTAAGCTGTGGTCAGATAGGGTGTAACTCAAGTGGAGGAAAAAAACTGCAAATATTTAGATGGTAGACTCCCTTTAGTAACAAAAAGGGCAGGATAGTTCCTGGACAATATTTAAATAAATGTGTGTTTAAATTAGGATTGGAACCATTTGCACGTTGGAGCTTGGAATGGCCTAGCTAAGAGGTCCCTCCCAGGAATGGCTAATTCTTACCTATAGTCAACACTCTCCTTCAAGTACTCCTTTCATTTGAAAACTAACCAATCCAGAACCATATCACCACCACCCCCACCTCAGGGCTATTATTCCCTCCTCCTAATCACCCCAGAGCCAGGTAGCATCTGGAGACAGCTCCTATGCCCCAGAGCCCACTGAAATCATTCCGACTAGCCAATTCCAAATCTGCATTCTGCTGCATCCATTCCTTCCCTTGGAAACCACAACAAAGGCTTTTGCCCAGGTTTCAGTTTTCTCCCTTGGCCTCCAGGCCAACTCTGAAACTTCCCTGCATGTCCCTACTTGCACATGCACCCTCACAAAATTTGGGGAGAATGATAGTTCTTAACGATGTATATAAATTCAAATTAAGGAAAGGAGAATTATGGTAATATTTATTGGATGAGTATTATATATGCTATGCACTTTGAAAATATGGCTTTATTTAATTTCTCATCAACTTTGTAATGTAGTTTTCATTATATTTTGAGATACAGGCAACTCTCCTTTATCTACAGAAATGAAAAAGGAGAATATGGACAATTCAATCCAGATAATCTTCAAAATTTCACTTTCCTTAATACTGGTTGCTTAACCTTTCATCAAACTTTTTACTGTGGAGATTAACAAATTTTAACCAAGTTTACTAATTCTTCCTCTTGAATCTCTGATAGAGCTACTAAGTAGCTATGTAATTGCCACACAATGAGGAGCTGGGAAGGAAACCTTAAAAAATTAGTATGAGTGGTAAGTCCCCATTCAAAAGTATTGGGAGCTAGACTGGTTGTTAGACTTCAAGCCCCTAAACAGGGTATGAAAATAGTCTTGCATTAACTGAGAAATAAAGTGTGAAAGGGATAGGCGATGTCGTCATATTCATCCAGTCAAACATTTATCTATTTATCGAAGGGTTATTGCGCTTCAATTCCAATCC